GTTTTATTCCCTGTGCAGTGTAGCACGTGATGAATATTAAAGGAGAGCTAAGCTGGAAAATTAAAAATACAAGAGCACGTGCATTTAACATTTAATAAATATCTCTTTTTTTATTTTGAGAATATGCTAGAAAATTCTCGTGTGCGATTTAAAAGCTTATATAAGCGGCATGAAAACCTCTCAGTTCGTTGTTGTTAGTTACTTACTTAGTTTGTTGTTATTTTAAGAGTTTGTTTAGAAAACTGCTCTGTTGACTGTAGCGAATTCACGGATTAGCTTTCTCTAGCTGTTTTGAATTAAGTTCTTTTGAACGTTTGAGTAGTTAAAAGATAACTGCTGTGATATTTTGTAATACTGCACTAATAGCTGAGGAAATTTAAGCATTATTTGTTGTGATAATAATAAATTTTGTTCATTTTTTTCATCGGACTTGTGCATTCATTTCGTAACGAACCCGTATGCACACAACAATATTTTAGTCAAATATTTTATTTTTGAAATTGCAAGAATCAAATATCATAAGATTAGAAAGTTTTAAATTTTAAAAAAATACTAAATTTTATGCGAAAATTTATTTTTTTCTTCTTAATAGCTTGCTCTCTCTCTTTTTTTTTTTTTTTTTTTTTTTTTTTTTTTCAGGCATTCTGCAAGTATATTAAAAAGCATCCAATTTTTCGAAACATCTTAGTATTTCTGACATTCATTTTAAATAAATGTATCGCCATCCATTCCATAAAGCCAGCAACAGCCGAGCGGTAAAGTCGCTGAACACTGGTAGTTCGCTGCAGGGTATGAATCCCGGCAAACAGTCTGGTTGTATGGGCGTTTTCGTGGTTTTTCTCATGTGTAACGTGTATGCCGGCTGGTTTCCCTTAGAAAGTTCTTCACAAAGGCATCCTTCCTTTTAGGCAGATATTTTGCCGTGATTTCAATTAATAATTCAATTCATTTCATCAGTAATTTGTCAGAGCCATTAGAGGCTAGGCATTTTGAAAGCATGAGGCGGAAGGGAAGACTGGTTTCATCAAGAGGGAAAATGACTTTAGATGATATCCATATGCATTTTAGAGACATTATGATTTTTTGGGAGAAGGAGACTTGAAAAATGAGCAATGCCCTCACTGGGAATCGAACCATGGACCTCTCGAATACGCATCGAGCATGAAGAACCTTTGGAATACCGGCCGAGTGTGCAGAACCACTACACCACGAAGGCACATTAAGAAGACTTGAGTAATACCCTATAACATCACTGGATAAATTCCTGAATCTTCAAATAATTCGACTGAGAAATCATGGGATATTCCATTTATGATATGATGTAATGTAAATTTATACAACTATGTAGCCGAAAACCAGTCGCTCTTCAATTTAATCTGCAATGCTACGTTATTTTGTCTTTTCCATTAGTGCTAAATTGCTGCCATTTGCTGGTGTGCACGTCCAAGTGTTTTCTCTTTGAACATCCAACTTCCTTAAAGTAGATTCCCCATTAAATTTTTGCTTTCCCCAATTTTCTTCTTTACTTCTACATTAGTTTTCAGTGCTGATACAAGAAAATTAAGATTTTTCGTTTGTTACACTTCCATAAATTTTGCATTCTTGTCAATATTTTTAAAATATCAGTTGCATCAAATGCGTTTTAGCTGAAGACAGCTTTTAGACATTTTAACTATAAATAAAGTTTAAAGCAAATTCCAAAGGATAAATATTTGAATTAAAAGATTTTTGTTACATGATAAAGAAATAAACCACTCCAGCTGCGCTTATCCTGTACCACCGAGTGATCTGATTCTTATATCGGGTACAAACATTCTAAATCACATTATTGAGATTTTTAAGCCTAATAATTTCCATGTTAAAGAAGATGATTTTATATCATCTACAACACGAGAGGAAATTACTACTTAAAACATTCTTTCTAAGAGGATTAATATAAAAATTTATATTCATATATATATTTTTCAAAGCTGGGACATGACCCAAACTGTCAACATTCTGTTTGCTTAAAAACATTGTGAAAATAAACATCAAACAAACTTTCTCAGTTTTAGACAATTCAATTTAAATGCAGCTAAAGTAAAGTAGCAGACTACAGCGAAGGTAAAAATTTACTCTTACAAATATTTTTTTAGAAAAGGAAGAAAGAAAGAAATTTTTAAAAAGTTGAATATTTGAATAATATCATCAATAATTTTAAAAAAATAGCTTATATAAAATGTATTAATAAATATTTATTACGCATTATTGGGAAAAAGATTTCATATAACTAATTCTCCATAAAAATTTAAGGCTAAAAATAGCTGTGGCAATTCACTGTAACAAAATTATGGTGTTATTATCGCGCAAAAAAAGACGCCAAATTTCAAAATGCGAAAATATGTAAACTCATGTATATCTTAGAAAATTGTGAATGAAAAACTCTAATTTTTTGCAGGTGTGCTTAGAATTACACCTACTTTAAGATGATGGTAAAAATTTTATAGGTTATAATTCAAAATTATAAAAATTATTTAAAAATAGAAATTTTTAAAATAAAATACGAAAAAAAGGGTGAATTTTATTTGGAATGAACCTAAATTTCGAAATCTGAAAGGAAAATTCAAAAAAGTTTAATCAAAAAAGAGATATTAATAAATATATCCCAAATTCAATTAACATTGAGAAGCTAAAATTTTGAGAGCTAATTTTTTAAAAACTACTCGTGCGATTGTTACAAAAATTGTCAGTCTGGCATAATTTGAGTCTTAGAATCGAAATATGTAGCAAAATTGGTATGTTATTTCAGAAAAAGTTTGATTTTGTGTCAAAATACCTATGTAAGAAGAGTGCTATATATAAATCTAATATATATCCTAAGTCGCGCTTTCGAGACATGAAAAACACAATTTGAATTTTGTCAATCTTCCCAGTTGAACGGGAGCTATAGAACTGTCCCATTTTTTTTTGCGCACTGTACCTGAAATCTTGCTGTTTATCATTGGATTTTCATTTGAAAACATATAATTTTCTTGCATATAGTTTACATATTCTTATCTCCATAATAGTATAAAATTTTACTATAATTAAATATTTTCTAAGCTGTTTTGCTTCATAAGCTTTTATTTGAGGAGGAGCATCGTAGTTTCGATTCTAGTTTTCTTTCTTCCTTGTTACTGGCTGTAAATGAATTTTTCTATCAGTCTTTGTGATATTTGATTAGATAATAATGGCTTAATAAAATATTAATTGCAAGAAGGTTAATGTTTCATCAAGTTGACAATGTTTCATGTTTTAATAAAGGTACTCACAAGAGTTGTATTTTCTAAAGCGATGCATTTTATTGTTCATTTAGGGGGAACTGTTAATTGATATATTTATAGTGCCATCACATTTCTAAAGTTTTTTAACTTCGAAAGTCCTACAGGAAGGTATCCCTACCCTTAGGTGGAGAGCCTGCACAGACTTTGCCGTAGTCAAACACACAAAACCAAATGAAGTTTCTGCAAGTTCCGAGCCTTTTAAACATTGTTTGCTTATGGCATTAATTACTGTTCATTGCATTTATTGTTTCAAATGTATTTTTTATGAGTAACGCAAAATGGATAGTATCGGTGGTTTCTGGAAAAAATCATTAAAATCAGATTTAATGAAATTATGTAAGGTGTAAAATTTAAGCTCTTTCTTGCTTAGTTATTCAATAGCAGTGATTGAGATTACATGCATTTTATTCTGCTTGGATTTGCATCATTAAATAAATAGTAGGCATATTTATTTTAATCCTTTACTTATTCTCTGTATTCTGTCAGCCTATGTGAAATGTTATCTTATTTTAACAGCTGCTATATCCAAAATTTTATGTAATCCCCAAGTCTATTATATTATTAAATTATTGTGTGATAAAACCTTATCTAACATATTCTAAAATGCTTCTAAATGAAGAATATCTCTTATCTTTGACTAGAATTCTAATCATTCTTTGATGTAATTTCCATATAATTTTTTTTCATTTGACTCTAAAGGCAGTATTTTAAATTCTCGCCCCCTTTCCTGCTTAATATGTACAGCTGATACGAAAATTATATAACCTAATCTTAATAACCGATAAGCACATGCATCATGCTCAATTACTGTACAGTTTATGTTTATCTTTACATATTTTAAAACCATTTCCATTGCACTGAATCAGAAAAGTTTTTATTATTATTATTATTATTATTATATTATATTATTATTTTTTTTTTTTCCCCTGAATTACCAACTTATGAATTCAAAACAATTTGAATACTACAACACTGTGCACAATCATTGTATTTTAGATTTTTGATCATCTATTCTGAATTGAATTTTCTTATACATATTTACTTCCTTGTGTATGAAGTAGAGGAATTATTGTAATCATGAAAAATTTTGGGGTATCATATAACAGAAATATCCATTTTCACTGTTCCCAATTCCATAAGTTTTTTTTTTTTTTTTTTTTTTTTTTTTTTTTCCCCATGACGTGTGTGTACCAGCAAAATAAAGGACTGTTATTTCCAAAATAATTATTTTTGATAACTAACAAAATTTGATATTTAGTGGAGTCTTCCAGTTCCTATACTTATATTTGGGAAAAATTTTATACTCTTTATGAAAAAATAAAGTTATAAGAAGCTTGACTGCTGTATGACAAATTTGACTGGGATAGTTAATTTCAAAATTTGCAATTTTTGATGTTTCCAATTTGCCTTGATGGACTGGTTAATAATTCATGGAAATAAGTCTAAATGAAGGGCAGCAAAAAATGTATACAATTTAATAAGCCATAAAAGGAAATCATGTGGTGTCCAGATTTTTTTTCATTAAGGTTTTCTTCATTTCATTGCCGTAAATTTCAAGAAACGTTTGTGTCAGTGTAAGTATCTATTTAAAAGCGAATAAACTGCATATTGTGTTTAGATACAAAAAAATTAATAATTACTAATTTATAAACAACAACCATGGTTACTTTATTTATATGTCTGTATATATTTTTGTAGCCTTTGCATAAAAGAAGAAGAAGAAGCAGCAGTTGGTTTAAGACCTCCCACACCTCCACCTCGAAAGTTCACTTCCAGAGGTGCTACAGCTTCATTTCGCATTCCTTGTATTGGTAAGCGGGACAGTCATGAACGGCCGATACTCGTACGCCAGTCTTCCAGTACACATAGCTGCAGTGATCTCCGTGGTTCATTCAGTGAGACTCCTCCTGAAATTGCAGCTCGGCCAAAGAGTGGCGAACCTTGCAACATGAGACATATTGCTGCCTCTCTGTGCTTTGCTCATTTGCCTGCAATGGCTGTTGCTGGTGTTCAACCGTCAACAGACCAGTGGAAAAAGCGTAGAAGGTTGGGAGATGGATCTTCACATATACCTACACACAGAGCTTCATATCATGGTCTGCAAAGCTCTTTTTATGCTATATTTCCACTATAAAGCTTCACATTTATATCCTATATACTTCTTTTCTTATATTTAATGATCATCTTTTATCATTTATATATACAAACTTAAAATTTAGACATAAGTATCTTCATCTGCATTACTTCAGAAGATCAAAATAACTACCTTCCATGCTTGCTTCTGAATGCCTTACATTTTTCTACTTAATTACTTCAAAATAGCACATTGTTGTTCACTTCTCTATATTATCCATTGTCTTAATATGTGCTAAACTTAAAGAAATGTGAGTTGCACATTGCACTCACTTCATTTGTGTTGGCTTAAAAGTGTGTGTCAACCATAAACAAAAAGGAAGTAATTAAATTTGCCCACATATGCAAGTTTATTCTTCTTTATGTATTTCTTCTTTGAGCATTTACTGCACCACCAACTTTGGAAATCTGTTATAATATCTATATACACACAGAGTGCTTGAAATTAAAGTTCCCTATTTAAAACCTATGTTTAAAAAAAAAAAAAAAAAAAAAAAAAAGAGGGAAGAAGAATGCTGACATATATGCAGAAAATGCCAAGTAACTTCAGTAATGAAATATATTTTTATCTTCAAACAAAATATGTTATGAATATCATGTATTTTTGCTAGAAAGTATTTATGTAATAAAAATTTACCTTTCTGAATTTTCTAAAAATCAAAATTCTGTTTGTTTACATCCAAAAATGAGCATGAATCAAGCGGTTATTATCAGAGCTCTACTGTATGTGGATATATATTAACACAAACACATCATATAAAATAAGTTTCTGACTTCTGTTTCTTGTTTGTTCAATTACTGTCACAATTATACTTCCTTGCTTAGTAAATTTGTATAATATTAGGAATTTTTGCTTTTCTGGTCACTTTTATAGACTATGATTTCTCTCTTCTTTTTTTTTTTTTTTTTTTTTTTTTTTTTTTAAATCAAAATTCTCTAATAGGTTATTTTAGGAATGTAAAACTTAAAATAAATAAATTTGTTATTACTACATTGCTAAAAACATAAACATTTAACTTAGGTGTATAATTATATACAGTGCAAAGTCCATAATCCGGACTCGTCAGGACTTCGATTCCAGATTAGAGGTTTTTCTGGATTATAAATCATCAATTTAAATCTGATGAGATGGCATGCAGAAATTATACAATTAAAAATATGAAACCGTAATTTATGAAATAAAGAGCAATTATGATCTAAAGGGTATCAAAATTTATAAAAACATAGCTTAATATTTATTTGTTTACTTTATTAAACATTTCTTTCAATGTAAGTTGTTTAAGTTGCTTCATTTTTTGTGCTAATGCTTTCTCTATAATTCTATAAACAGACATAATTTCTTCTTCAGTTACAAAGTTCCACTGCTCAAGTGCTGTAATTGCTGTGTTGAGAATACCGACTAACTTGTCAATTGAAATTTTTTCGTTTTCAATAACCTCTCCGTCACTATCGGAGGTGGTATTTTCTGGATCTAGAACCATACTACAGATTTCGCCGTCCGTTAACTGATTGGCGCATTGTCATTGCAATGAAAAACTTCTGTTATATCATCTTCATTTATTACCGCTTCTCCACATTTCTTTACAAAATACAATAATGGAAAATTTCACCTTTATTTTGCGATGTCTGAAAAGCTTCAAATTCGCGGCTGTCATCTTCATCGTCCTCACCATGAAATATGGTAACTGGCTATAAATTATGACAAGCATTTTTTAACTTATCTGGAGACAGATCTTCCCAATGTGCATGTGCATGCATAAACGGATTATGCCTAATATTAAAAGTATAAACGGATTATGCACATGCATAAAGCATACAAAAAAAAAGTTTGTGGCTTTGAGGTCTGGATTATAGATTATTCTGGATTACAGACTTTGTACTGTATTACAAATTAATTACATATAAATTACAAATTAGTTACATATAAATTACATTAAATTTTAATGTAATTCATATGTAAAAGTAATAATATATGCTGTTAAATCTTGCTTAAAAGCTTTCTTGTAATTTCTCTATTCATATTATTCGACTTCATTTCATCAAAAGCCATGGTTATATTATCTTTTCAAATACTTTTATATTAGTAATTAACTTATTCACCTCAATATCTTTGTTTTTACTCTAAATTCTTCATAATACATTTTTTCCTTCTGCTCTTCATGGCTGTAATATATTTCATCATATTAAATATTCTGTATCATTCAAATGCTTTAAGGGGTAGATTTATAACAAAAAAAAGTTGAGAGTCTTATTTGCTCATAAATAAAAGTACAGCAATGGATATTATGATGAAACCTGAAATCAATGCATGTAGGTATGAGATTTTCTTCTAACATTCCATACGGTAATGTGGGTAATCACTACGTGTCATGGGACTCAGCAGATAAGATAGCTATGTCTTACAGTGCAGAAGCCTTGCTTGTTTTGTTGAGCTTATTCAGGTGCTATAACAACTGCAGTTTGTGCAGGAGGAATTTCATTCACTTTCACAAAATTTTCTTAATTGCAAGATCTGGAATTTAATGCTCCGAGAGTTTTCCTAGTGTTGCTTTCCTCTGAATTTGGAGGAAGACACCACAAATGTAATCAGTTTGTTTTTCAGTTACATAAAATCACCCAGACATTTACTCATACATTTGCACAAATAGCCTGTAATTTTAAATTTCGTTGATCTTCTTTCAGCTGTGAATGGATCTTTTGTATGGAAGTGATTTTTTGAAGTTGGATCAAAATTTGCTTTATACAATAATAATGAATATCTTTTCATTGAATTCTATAAAGCAAAAGAGCTTTCTCCATAAAAGATGAGACCATTGTGCTTACTGAATCAAGTGGCACTGTGTAATTATCTACCTCAACACACTGAATGCTGGAATAAAGCTTGATATATGCATGCATATACTCCTTCATATTTTGCCGTATCTTTTACAATGCTTTTCTATACTCACTTTTTTTAACAATAATAGAAACTGAGTACATCTTTTACAATATTCCTATAGTTTCTGTGATTCTTAGTATTTCGTATTTTTATCTTCATCTGGAGCTTCGTAATGTCCTTTTTTTCAGTAATTACCCATAATCATGTATATTGTTCATAAATGAATGCCCTAATTCTAGTAATCTGAATGTTTTTTACTCATGCTGGTATATTAGTGACGCTGTTTTTCTCACATTTTCCGATTTGTAACTGACTGTTTTTTTAAGAATTTGACATTAATGGAAGGAAAGTAACTTCCCAGGAAATATTTCTCGGCCTAATATAATTTGAATAGCCTATGCAATTTTTTTTAATAAGAAATGGTCTATTAAAGTAAATTTATAAACTTGAAGTTGTTTGACAAATTAAAGATGAACAATTTTTCGAGTTGTAAAAAATTATTTGAGATTATGATTGAAGCAAACAATATGCACTTAAACTATCATAATTTCAATGAAAGGATTGTTGTAGTGTGTGAAAAAAAGGTTTTTTTTTTTTTTTTTTTTTTTTTTTCCCCCCCCCCCCCATCATTATGCATTCATAGTAAGGAAAAAATAATGAGGTTCTACTTTTTTTTTAACTACCTAATGAAAAAAGGTGGGGAATATCAAGAAACGTCTAGCTAGAAAACAGAAATTATGTGCTGAAAGATATCATACCAAATTTTTTTTATATTACATAATTCCCATATAAATAATTGCTGTGATAGCATTAAGATTATGAAATATTCAATGAGAAGGGAAAATTTTATGAGAATTTAAGTTTAGTACTAAACATTTTGAAATGCGCATTGTTTGTTGCACAGATTACTTTCCTAAAATGATGATATAGTTGTAAGCATGTAAACTTGAAACAGTTAATTTATTATGATAATACAAAATGGTTATTTACATTGAGTGGAGTACCTTTGTATATTTAAAGAGAAACTATCTTTTCTCTATATTATGCATTGAAAACCAGTAAATCCATACTGTAATCAACCTTTCTACCAAAAACGGAAACTGTAAGAAAAAGCTAATATTATTTAAATATTAGCTTTAAAATATATTAATATTAGCTTTAAAATATATTTAAATAATATTAGCTTTAAAATATTTAAATATTTTAAAGCTATTTAATAATAATAATATTTAAAAAGCAGTCTTATTCTTTAGCTTCTGATAAGCCAGAATTAAAAGAATTTATCTCAGTGTTAAATCTGGTGATAAAAGACATGGGTATTTGTTCCACTTTACTGATTTTTAATTCTTTGAAGATCAAATAATTTGACTCTTAAAATAAAGTTTAAAATACCAAATATTGCTTATATAAAATCTAAAAGCTCATTGCTATTATTACCAAAATATAAGAAATAAGTTTCTATAAAGTAAACCCTTGCAAAACACAATTTTGCATATGCATTCTATCTTAATTGTCTTCATTTAATTTGCCCAATGTGAGAGTTTCAGTTATACATAGTATGCTGCACATTGTTTGCCACATTGTGATAGTCCTCTTTGATCATTGGTTTGAAATTTCATTTAGTAAAGAATTTAAATATTGCTTAAAACAACAAAACGTGAGCTTTAAAATTCACCTAATTCGCTCTAATGCTCCAGAATACAGTGCTAAAGCCGTTGCAGCTATGTATCCAAATGTAGATGTTTTGTTCATTCCACTAAACACTACTTCTTTAATCTAACCAATGAATCAAGGAATCATAGAAACATTGGAAGCTTATTATATCAGGCACATTTACATGGAAAAAAAAATTAGATGAAGAAAAGCAGAGTGCACTGATGGCATTTTGGAAGCAGATCAACATAAGACATTGTACAGAAGTGATTAAACTCACATGGGATCCAGTGAATTCATCAACAATGAATGCCTGCTGGCATCAGCTATAGCCCAACAGTTTTAAAGGATTTCCAACAGCAAAGAATTAGTCGAGAATGATGATCGCGAAATTAAATGAATTGTTTAAAAAGGAACAGGAACTGTCTGATTTATAATGGAGACTGACCCAAATGAGAAAAGAAGAGGTTACTTTACGAAAGGTATTAAAGGACGTTGCACTCCCTACTTCAAAATGCTTAATAAGTTGTGTCATCTAGTGTGAAAAAAAAATTATCACCTATTTTTTAAAAAAATAATTGTACCATGTACCTACTTACTAAGAAGTAATAAAAGTCCTTTCACTTAACATTTATTTCATTTTTTTTTCCTTTCACTTACAGTAATTTAGGTTTGTATAAATTATACATACTCTCTTATAAAAGTTAACTTTGCAAAACGTGATTTCACCATATGCCCAATTTGTTAATAACATAATCCCTACACACAGCAATGGTTCACTGTAAATCTTTGGATTGTTGCATAAAATTCAATGATTTTTCTGACTATTCCTCTTTATTTTCTATATAGTTTTTAAGATAAATAATTTTGATTTACTAAACTTATGTAATACTTGGCTAATTAAAAATTTTGTACGTTATTGAGGTTTAAATATTTATTGCTCATTATTTTTAATGCTGAATTTTTTTCATGAAAGCATACAAAAAATTGCTTATCATAGATAATCACTGTCTTCTTTCTGTAGTATAGCTTTTACTTATGTATGTTTAATATTTTGTTGCAGGTTCCCGTGATACTTCGTTAGGATGGAACAGTGATTCTCCAATAAAATCAAAATCTGGAGATGTAAGAACTGCAGGTATTTTAGGCAGTGCTGAAAGTCTTATAGGAAGAGTAAGTAAAATTTCCTGTTGTTCAAAATCTGAAATATTGTTGCCATTATCTGCTTTAGAATGTCTCTTAAAAGTTTCCCTTTCCACTTCATTGGCAGAGAAAACTGTTTCTCTGTGATAATTATTTGTATGCATTTAGTCTTGTGTTTTTATGTTCTTTTGGTTATGTGGTCATAATAGTACTAAATGAAGCACTTGAATGAATGTTTAGCATTATTAATATTATTCTAAAGAATCACAACATTCCATGCATTTTAGGCAAAAACAAAACAATCTGTTTCTAAAGCATCCAAATTTTATTATGAATTCTCCAATAAAGTGTATTTAAAGATTGAAAATGATCAGTTGCTTAAAATATTAAAGTAGGTACATTTAAAGATTTCCAGCATTCAACAGTAATGGTGCTGAACCCAGGTGTTACCCAAATAAAAAATTGCATTGTATACACTAGAATACAGTTTTGCATGCTGAAATCTCATCTCGTTGCTTTTGATAGGATAAGGTTATTGTGGTTCAAATATTTTCATCTGTAGAGAGAAATGACACTTCTTTAAATATTAATTAATTGTTATAGCATACATGCAACTGTTAAGTAGACGGATTAATAATATCAAATCTAAAACGCAAATTTGGAAATACTAATGTATTTTAAAATGTGTTTCTCTCTCTCTAAAAAATGAAAATTAAAATAATAATGTGTCATGTTATTGTGAAAAGGCTATGCTTATTTTAAAAATAAAGTAGGAAAAGGAATAAAAAGTAGAAACAAAGGCTTTAATTTTGGGAGGGAAAAATTAATTTTCCATAATTTTATTTTAAATGTTTGTTATGTTTCATGCAATAAATATAATACCACATTAGTCACTTCATAAAAATGAATTTTGGTTTAATCGTGTAATTGAAACTGCCCCAAATGATAAATACTGAATTAGGAAGTCCAAAATTCCAGAAACTCACTTTCAATTAGGAGAAAAATTTGTCCATCACATTATTATTATTTATGTTGTCTGTGCATATCCTGTTGGGAACATTATCTGATTTTAACCTAATTTTGTAAATTCATTATATTTTTTAAAATTTTTTAATTTTGCTCTATAAATCCTTAATGGTGTGTTAATAAAAGCATATAAGAAAACACAAAATTGATAAGCATGTACAGTAGCTATATCAGTTTATATATTTAAAGTGTGGATTTTAAATATTAATATTTAAAATTATAGCTGACTATATTACTGGATTCAGTTGCTGTTACATAATGTCCTGTAACTTTTTCATGTATGCTACAAAAGAATTTCTTAGATTAATGAAGCAACTATTCTAAATAATCAGTTATGCATTCTTGCTCAAAATTCAATGTATAAATCTTTTACATAATGTGATAATCTTTTCTGTTAAGTAACTTATATGATACAATTCCCTCAAGCATTTGAATAACCTCTAGAGTGCTTTATATTTAGAGCTTACCATACGGGTGAATTTTTAGCACTGAAAATTTTTAACAGCAGAGAATTAAGAAAATTAAAAAATGTACAAAATTTTGTCCTTCTGGAAAATGAAAAATATATGATAATTTCATTTCTAAATTGTCTTATTCAATGTCTAATGAGAAAGGACTTACTCCCCCCAAGTAATTATATGATTGCAAAACAAGTGTGATAACTTTTATGAAGAATATCCTAAATCTTGCTAAAACTTTAAAAAATACAAAAGCTTCTGTTCAGAAGACTAAATTTGGAGAGCATTTTAAATACACAAAACAAGCCAGTAAGGATAAAAACTTTTCATTCTCTAAAATATGAATCACCTATATAACCTCAAGCTCATAAAAAGATCTATTCATAACATCCTCTTTTCCTGAATAGTAAATATTTCACTATTTTCATCAGCCTTGAACAGATTTCTGATTGACAGCTGAATCAAAAAACTTGAATGGAATTGGGGAATCTGTTCAAGTTCTCTACCACAGTGGTAATAGAGTTGGGACATCAGAACAGTGTCCTAAGATATGCCTTTCTCCAATTTATTTCTTCCAATTTCTCCAATTAGATCTTGCATGGCCTTTGTTTAGAGCACAGAGAAAGATGGAAGTTGAGATAAAAGAACAATAGCATAAAGTTGTCTCTCTCCTCAATTTTAAATACGCTGGTTTTAAGGCTGTGAGATTTTAAGGATTAGTAATTTTTTAGTTAACAGTTGTAATTTTGGGTTAAAATATGAAAAATAAAAAAATTAAACTGAAGCATCCAATAAAGTTCTTTGTATGTGATTTTCATACATTTGGGAGTTTGCTATAACCCTGTAAAATAACATTATATGTATAGGAATTTGGACAGGACCAAAAGATTTGTTTGTGAGAACTAATTATAAGCCAGGTTCTCTGTAATTGAGGTTTGACTGTGTTTTATATTATTTTTGAAACTTTACATTAGAAAAATAGTTATTATGTTAAAAATATAAGACATTCACATATATTACAAATAAAAGAAAGGTAGTCAAACTTGATTTTGGGAAAATATGTATCTATATTCTCTTTGAAAGTCGATTACTCCACTACTTTACTTTTCAGTGTTTCATCGCAACTCTTGGCAGATATATTGTTAAAAACATCAAAAACAGTCATGGGCTATGTTTATTGCTTTACTAAACTTTCTGAAGTACATACAAGTTATCTTTATCCCCTTTCATAATTGCAAATATGCATTAATTCATACATGTACAATAATGGAATTTAGCTCTATTTTGGGCTTTTTAGATTGTGAAATTTATTCTTTTCACCATTTTAAATAAAACAATTTCATTGTAGGTGCTCTTAGAACAAGGACTTGGTAAATACTGTGATCCTGATTTTGTGCGAACAACTCAGCGAGAGTTAGCTGAAGCAATCAACCTAACTCAAGAAGAAATGGATATGGCTGCTCATCAGATTATGCAGTTGGAACGTCGACAAAGTATGCCTCACATGTGCCTCGAAACAAATCCACAACCTGAAAGGGTGGACAATGTGGCAGCTATGTATACTGAGAGTGATCATTTGACCCTTCGAACACATACACCTGCTGCAGAAAGTTCTTCCCCTGAGAGTGGCAATAGCAGATTATCCACAAGAAATGTAACTATAAATCTTGATCAAATAGATAAAAGTTTAGATGCTAAAGGATTCCGTGGTACAGATGATACAGATTTATAGTATTATGTACAAATGAAGTCAAATCCTCATTTTCTGTGTTATAATTACTACTAACAAAACAAAGTGGGATGACTGAAATCCCACAGCTTATTTAACATCATGGAATCAAAGCTGGCAGTTGGAAAAACAAGCTTGACTGACTAGGAAATTGAGTAAAAGTAATAATCAAACAGGTACTGTAAAACTTTCAAAGTCTGTGATTTTGTATAAAACTGATTTTAACTTTGCCTAATTTTCTCTCTCTCTCTGTCTTCTTCTTCTTCTTCTTTTTTTTTTTTTTTTTTTTTTTTTTGAGGGGGGGTTAAATATCTAGCCTGATGTCAAATTTTCGGCTTTATTTAACTTTCACTACAACTAGAAAAACTAGAAATTATATAAGGCCAATTCAATTACAAAAATTTATTTTTTACTAGAATGAATAGGAATCTCTTCCATATTTGCTCATCTTAGAAAGATATGTATTGCATGTATCATAAACTTTCTGATTTATCTGAATGGAATAAGGCATAATATTTTTATTAGAAATTAATACAGCAATTTTATCTGTATTTCTGAATATTCTATTTGCTTATTGTTAATTAAGAAGTTTTGCCTTTGTATACAATATCATTTAGTAAGTATCAGTTTCCAATAATTTAAACTTAAGATATAATTTTTTTGTATAACTATAATTATAGTTTGTTGGATATGTATAATCGGTCTATTATTAAGAGTGGGACTTTGGATAACTCAAGTGAGAAGCTAAAATTATCAACAATAATGCAAGTGGTTAAATATTAAAATAATAAATTTCTTAAAGCATTTGATAATTTTAATACTTTAATGAGACATTTTGGTCATTGTCTGTCATAAGTCTGATAATAAGTCCAGTGGCTGAAAAACTTCACATAGATTTTAAATTTGAATGTTTTAAGAAATGTTTACTTATAAATATTCATTTTAAGAATGAAAAACCATATCTGTTTTATAGTACACCATTAAGTATTCTGTACTGGCTATTTATTACAATAATACTGTTCTTCCCCTCCCCCATTCTATGGATTATTCCATAGTTTTTTTTTTCATTTGGAGAACAGTTTTGTGATGATGTTTAACTTGTTAAATTTACTGACCTACATCTCATTCATTAATTAACTCTTTATGTGTGTTGATTTAATTGTTTTCATAATGCACCTGATCTTCTATATTATTCTGTTTATTTTTTATTTCATTTGATATTATAATGGTGTATTCACTACTTTATTTTTTCAGATATAAAAAGGAAAATAGTATAGAATAGCACTGCTTATTGCCTGTTTTCTTTAGGTTAATTACTTTAAAGATATATGGAATCTGAAAGAAGAATAAAAATGGAACGAATAGAGTATAAGTTTAAAGTTATTTTAGTTTTCTCATATTAAAATGATATGTATTAATCATTGAATATGCTTTTTTCATTTCAGATTTCTTATTTAAAACATAAATATTGAAATATTAATACTGCTTCTTTAAACTGGTACATCAGAATAAACTACTAAAAAAAGTATATTCTAGAATTTTTCTAGAAGTTATTGAATAAAATGAGGAATTTTTAGGCTATGTTGTCAAAAAATGCTGAGAGTTATATAATCTTGATTTGCAAACCTTTATCTGCTATTCACTGTCAGCAAAACTTTGAATTAAAATGCTGCTTTTATAAGCTGGAACTAAAATTGGTTTTAATTTAAAAAAATAATGATAAAAATTTAAATTATTGAAATATTAAAAAAAAAATTCAGTTACTATTCAATTTCATGAAAAGAGGTCAGAAATGTTTTAAATGAAAATGTTATCGTATCAGTCACAGAGGTTTTTCTCCTAAAAGAAAACTCTCTTTTCAGTGGTAATGAATCACATTATCATCCCCCCCCTCAAATAAAAATATGTCTAACCTTTTAGCTGATAACAACAAACAGCTGAGCTAATTCTTATTAAAGCTACATGCAGATTCTACACATAGTTATTTTCCTTTCTATTAAGAAAAATAAACTGCATAACTATTTCTTAAAGACATATTTAAGCGGATAAATTTTACTTAGAACAGATTCTTTAAATTATTAAGTAAAAATATTCCTTAATTAAGTACAGGACATATTCTTTAATTAAGTAAAAATAAGCCTTTTTCATTAAAACTGAGGTGACTAATACCATAGTCACCTCAGTTTTAATGAAATGTATGTATTACTTCTTTTATATTAGGAAGTTGATTTAATGAAATATCTGTTATCAATGTAATCTTAGCTCTTTTTCAGTATGACACAGAGTTCCTCCTGTCCAATTTGTATTTGTTCTGGCCTTATATATTTATAGATTAACAAAAATTATTAGCAATTACCTTCCATTGTATTTGGGGTGCTATTCATATATGTTGCTAAGAAACTCATGTTACCTGAAAAGTGCTTGTATATCTAATGTTACATTTAAAATTGTGTTACAGTCTTATTTAAATTTCAGCAAATGTAAAACATATATACATATATATTTTAATATATAATGCATATCAGCTATTGGAATTTTTTTTTTCTAGTTCTAGTTGATTTTAATCATGAGAATTGAAAGTTTCACTGCCTGCTAGCCAAGGACACATTATGTAAGGATGTGATACAGAAGGTGTTTATGCTGATGGAATTTTATTGACTTTAGAATTTATTTTAATTGGGTCTGTGATCCACAGTTTGTGAAAAAGATGTGTATTCTCTTGTCTCAGTGCCTTCATTGAAGAGGGCCAGTGAATTGCACCTCCCATTTAATCTTTGCTCCATAATCCATAGGTTGATATTCGACACTTCTCAGGGTATTCAGAATTTTCTTTTATTTCGTATCTTTAAAGGAAGAACAGAATTAGCTTTTTAACAGTGGGCTTGCAGTAGTTTTGAACTTTTCCAGAGTCACTTCTATTTCATGCAACTATATATTCTTTCCAACAATTTTCTCTTTTTCAAAACTGAAAATTGTTATTCTTTAAATGTTTATTTATTTTTGTAAGTATTAAGAATAAGTGTCTTCATTAAATATTAGAAAAATAATTCCCCCCCCCCTTTTTTTTTTTTTTTTTTTTTTTTTTTTTTTTTGTTAACTTAATGTGATTTTGTATTTTAAGTGTAGAATTATATTTTATATTTCTTATTTATTTTTCTTGTTCTTTCTTTATGTGGAAAATACAACTGAACTTTCATAACCTAAAATTAAAGAAATTTTGAGTCGCTAAAAATTTAAATTGATGAGACTTTTGGCAAATAATGACTAAAATTCATCCAAGATTTTACATTGAGCAAGATAAAAATTATTGCATACATAGAAATTCATCAGTAGAAGTTCTGGCAATTGTGTAACTGATTATATTTCAGAACTATCAGAACTTTATAGCAGAACAGTGTGACATGAAATCTAACTGTTCTGATATCGAGTTAGCTAATATATGCCCACTAAATAATGAAAGTTATTCACCACACCCACTTGGCAATAAAAACCAAAATGTGAATGGCATAACAAAAAAACAATATTTTTAAGTCATTTTAATTTTTGATCCTTGGTTGTTTCAGAATAGACTAAAAGTGTGAAATATCCAACATCTTAGTTTTGCCTAATTTCAAATAAAATATAAATAGTATAAAATTAATTCCAGTTTTCTTTAAAAAGTATTTACATACTCACAAATTCAATAACACTGAATGCTGGAACTAATGATCCAAGAAAACCATGGAAAGGAAAATTGATTTTAGCATTTGATACATGATCTATGTGATATGGTGTTATTATCAAAATGTAAATCAAAATGTATCAAAATGGAAAAAAACCATCCTAACATTAAATTTTGATATATTTTGTCTATGAGAAACATTCATAGTGATTTATCAAAAATTTTAAATCATTAATGTTCTGCTGTATCATTCTTAAAAGTTAGAAACAACTGTTATATATATTTATTTATTTAAACATATTTAAACATCATATATAGTACTATCACGCTGCACTGGTTTAACAAAACTGCATCTTTATGTATATTTACATTGGACAGATATTTGATGTAATAGTAACAAAAAAAAAAAAAAAAAAAAAAAAAAAATTTCTTTTGAGATGCATGCATTCCACTTAACATGCTTAGCCTTTTTTTAACTAGCAAAATATGAGTTTTATTTCTCATTCATCAAAAATATTATCTTTAACATCTGTTAACATGAATCTACATTTTATGTCTTTTTTTAGATAAATAAAATTTAAGTATTTAAACAATATTTTAAATAAACAAAGTAGAAAAATTATTATTGGTTCTCTGATATCTAAGATTTTTCTGAACAATCAATAGCTATAATAACAATAATTGTAGCCTTCTGATAAAAATAATTATCTAAGCAGAAATGTGGCCCAATCTAATCTTTGTATTATACAGTATTACTTTATACTATATGTTTATGCAAACATATAATTAATTCTTTACAAGTGTTATTAACTGTAATTTATTCTTTCGATTAGTTTTTATTATAAATGCTAATTTATTCTCTTGGTAATCAAAACTGAATAATAAGACGTGGCTTTGAATAAGATCAAAATATTTTAAGCCCAAAAATTGTAAATTATTTCAATTTCTGTACTTTCTTATTAATTTTGCACATTCCTCTCTTTTGCACTTTAAAATTTCAGTATAAATCAATAGCCAAAGATATTTAATTGTATAAATATTTATTAACTTAAAATAATGAAAAAAGATATCTCTATATATAAACAATTAGTTTCTTGCAGGGAAATAGAAAAGATATTTGACATTTAGTGCTAGGTAAATTACGCTATTTCAAAGTATTAATATTAATAATTACTGCTATTAGTACTTTCATGTATTTACTAAATCATTCTTACAGAGAAACTTAACTTTTGAGAGTAATGTTCAAATCTGAAGTCATTGCACTAAACTTTTTTAATGCTTGTTGTTTCATTGCACAAGATAGAGTAAAAAAAAATCCATTCTGAAAAATACTTTTTTATTTACTTTTTGCATTATTTATAAGTATCTTTTGCATTCCTAGTTTATAAAAGTTTATTGTATTTAATGATTAGCTATATAATTTTGGTGTTGAAAAATTAATAGTTTGCTTAATCACCTACTTTTTTTCACTCAGAAATTTTCAGTATTTAAACATATTAATATATATTATTTTATTAC